TTTTGCCCCGTAGGAGTTCTCCCACAGCCCGGCTCCTGTAGCTCTCCATCTGCCATGCCGGGCGTTGGAGCCGATAGTCGTCCAGTACCTGAACGTGAACTAGATGGTGATGGACCCCCACCTGGGTTTGACAGTGTGCAACCGGCAGCCTCGCCGGACGCCCCTCCCGAGACCTTTCTCAGGGGGACATATAGACCGCAGCCAACAGACTCCGCCGAGGATGATGGCAACAACAACCACTACACCAATGAGAACCAATGGCAAGACTCAGCTTGGAGTCAATGGGGTGACAGTGGCTACCAGTCCTGGGGAAACGACCGGATGAGCCGCAGCAGACAGTGGACAACAGACGGAGCACATGGCTGGAATCGACGTACCAGTTGGGATGCAACTACAGCTGCGACGACTGGCAGCACCGACCGCTGGGGAGACTGCGGTGATGATCCATGGGCAACCGGCAGCGACCCATGGAGCCGCGCTAACGATGAGGTACGACTACGAGGAGACGAATGGCGACCGCCCCGAGGAGCTCCCTGGGCGGATGGTCGATGACGAGCCCGAAAACCTTACACAGCGCACCTGACAGAAGCCCCGGAGGAAGATGATGACGAGGATGGTGTGGCCACTCGGCAAGAGGACATCGAGCTCGAAGACGGGGTTCCTGAAGAAGTGGCCACCGCGTACGCGACCTACCAGAGTGCGAAAGACCGCTACAAGGAACAGCAGAAGGCGAGGGGCTTCCACGGCGATCGCGGTGGCGGATACAACAAGGACAATGCGAAGAAGGCCGAGCTCACCCGCGACGAGAAGGTGAAGCTCATGAAGTCGCGTTCCTACTGTAGCAGTTGCGGGCAAAAGGGACATTGGCACCGCGACCAGGAGTGCCCTAATCAGGGCGGTGGAGGTGCCGGGAACAGGACGGTGAAGGAAGTGGAAGTGTGCCATCACGTCGCGGCCGAAGTCTTTTCCTTGCGCCATGATGGACCGACGCTCTTGGGGATCACAGACACTGCCTGCGCAAAGGCGGTAGCTGGAACTATCCGGCTGCAGCAGTACAGCGACGCGTTGGAGAAAGTCAACCAGCGCCCGCAGCTGGTGCGCGAAAGCGAGGCTTTCCGCTTCGGTACCGGCAAGGTGCACCACTCCTCGTTCCACGTGGTTCTCTCCTTCAAGATGGGCCAGCATGTGGTGGAGATGCGGACCTCCATTATCAACGGTGATGTGCCCCTCTTGATGTCGAAGCAAGCGTTGGCCCAGCTCGGGATGATCTACGATGTTGCAGAGAACCGAGCGGATTTTACCCGTGTCGGGGTCTTTGGATTTGATCTCGTCACGACTTCGTCGGGTCACCCGGCAATTCCCATAGTACCGGCAAAGCCGGCAAACGACCTCGAGCGGCTGGTCATCGGAGAGACTTCCACCTCGACAGGGCAGCAATACATGGCGTTTGCAGTTTCAGTTGTGCATCAGGCAAATAGTGGTAACGCACGACAAAGCACTCCAGGCCCAGACTACCCCACGGAAGCTACTACATCGTCATCTACAAAGCCTACAACCGCACCCGCAGTTGCCACCTCTACCACCAAGGCCCCTCCATTCCGGATTTTCCACGATAAGAAGCTCAGCCCAGAAGTCAAGGAGTTGCTCACACAGGACCTACTACATGAGGCATCGTTTCTTGCTTGGTGGGAGAAGACGAGGGTTCAGTCGGATTTCTGGGTGGAGGGCGACACAGCATGGCATCGCATACACGTTGTACCGCGCAGAGCGTTGTGTAACCCTTCAACATGGAAGACTCAACACACGGTTCAGAAGAGCATGCTCCTCCAATCGATTGGGGACCTCAGGATCACCCAGGGGTTCTGTTGTAGGACAAGCAAGCCGCTCGAGATTGCAGTAGATCACTGGAAGGATGCGCAGGCCGAGAACTCGTTCCCGCTGTTATGGGTTGGAAGATCGTCTTTCGCAAAGTTGCGAGATAGCGCCCCCGCCGCATTGCTTTCTTCCGCCACGCAGCATGGCATGCAAGCCCCCGGCCATCTCGAAGATGTCCAAGACCGAGCTCCTCTCGGAAGCGAGCCGCTTGGGTCTAGTGGTGCACCGCTCGTGGACCGTGGAGGAGATCAAGGCCACCATCATGGAACACCGCATGAACGACCCCGCGTACAAGCAGGCGGCCACGATGAAGTCGATCACCAACCTCACGCTCCACGAGCTCAAGGAGAAAGCGGACACCTTGGGGGTGCAGTATCCGGCGAAGATCACAAAGGGGAATCTCTTGCGCCTCATCAGGGACTTCGTCTCGACGCCGGGCACCGAGTTGATGAAGATCGGGAGGTACAAGGGCTTCGAGTTCCAGGAAATCCCCCGTCAATACGGTATGTGGGCGGCGCGAGAGATAAGGATGTCTCCGAACCCGCACCCGGAGCTCATCCGTTACGCGAAATGGTGGGAGCAGTACGAGTACGAGATCCACTACGGCGACGGGGACACACTCGAGGCCAATGCGACGGTCCCCTACACGGAGGATGCAACCCAGTGGTCGGTCTCCTCGGGGACCGAGGGGTGGGACAAGGTGTCGGACAAGGGCCAGAGCCATGCAGCCAAGGATCTGCCGATCGACCCCCGGGCCAACAAGAGAGCAACCTCCAGCTCCGGATACGACCCCGAGGTGATGAATGCAATGGAGACCGAGATGGACCCGGCCACCTTGGAGGAGATCATCGCGCTGGAAACCAGGCTTGCGGCTCTGAAGCAAAAGGCGAAGGCGGCACCGGGGCCAACCAAGGCCCAGAAGTGAGCGCAACCAAGGGCCTCCTGACCGGGAACCTCGCCCCGATCAAGGAGGAGACCTACGGCGAGGAGCTGGCTGAGCGCTACGTGAACAACGGAGCGCGGCGACTACTACACGATCAAGACCTACGTCAAGGACATGTCGTTCCCGCACCACATGAACGACGAGTGCAGGACAGCAACTATAAGTCCAAGGGCGACCATTTTGGCAATAAGACCTATGGACACACAGCTGGGTGCTGCGGCTATGCACCGAACGCCGATCTCAATCATGCGTACATCACCAATGAAGAGTTTGAGATCTCCGCCAAGCGCCCCGCCACGAACTTCAAGTGCTCTCCCGTGAACCCGTGCGCCGAGGACGGTTTCTCCATCGCCTACAAGAACCAGGACTATGACTACAAGACCCTCCAGATCCTGCTCAACACCCTCGACTACAAGCCCGTGAAAGCAGCAAGGGATGGAGTGTTTGGCGGGAAGACCGGGGACTACGTCAACTACTTCACCTACGGCATGTTCACGCATGGGGGAGTCGTGGGGACCACTACCAAGACACGAGAGGATGACAACGTGATCCGCTTCCTCAACGGCTTTGGGAGGCATCACCTCGGTCCCAAAGCAACCTGGGCATCAGTATCGCTGTCACGCGACATAGCGACCGAGCTGCACCACGACTACCGCAACCTCGCTGGCACCAGCAACTACACGATCAGTGTCGGGCAGCGAAGTGGTGGAGGACTTTGGATCGAGGACAGGAGCCTGGATGAGGACGCCCCCAAGGACGGGATCAAGTGGCGCAAGACCGGTAGTGGGCACTGGCTACCCGGCCGCGTTCATGTTACCAAGAACAACTTCGTCGAGTTTGACCCGTTCCTCAAGCACGCTACAGAGCCATGGGAAGGCACGAGGTGGACGTTGACCTACCACACCACCCGCAACATCTACAAGGCCGGGGACGAGATGAGAGGGTTCCTGAAAGGAGTCGGTTTTCCTTTGCCACGGAAAGGGAGCACAGGACCAAGGCCGAACGACGTGAGCAAGAAGCCAAGGATGAGTTTCAACAATGCGGCGAAGATCGGGGTGATGATGGCCACGCTCATATCTGCTGCGAGCAGCTATATGACTGAGCACGTCCTACCGGACTCCGACCCCAACCCTGTGGTCCTCTTTGAGATCGGCGGGACAGAAGCCACGTACGATGCCGTGACCCTTGGGAAGGACGTCTTCGAACCGATGACATGGGAACGCTACAGGTCACCTGAAGGGAAGGAGAGCGCGTACCACATCGTCCATGGAGGCGGACCCAAAGAGCTGCGAGTCAACCTTGAAGGCCGCCCCCAGCAATGTGAAGATGGCATCCTCGAGCTAGGCTAGTCAAGCAACAGGTGGGCGAGGGAGGAACGGCAGTAATCACCGGCCCGGCCAAGGACGTTATCTTCCACGCCCTCAACACGGACGTCGATTTCAAGGACACCCTCAAGTATGCGGACGAGTCCCACGACCGGATCTTTGCCGTGATATTCCGCGAGAAGGAGGAGGCCAAAGCCGTCTCATGTAGCGACAGGGTGCATGATGTCAAGATGGTCGCCGCTAACTCCGGCGACCCCGACAAAGAACGTCTTCCAGCAATGGGAGCTACCGGGATATCGTTTGGAAAGGACACACCCAGCGCGGTGGCCACGGCCCTAAGAAGACTACATCAGAACCTCGGACACCCTCGCCAAGAAGACCTGGTGCGACACCTCAGGCTTGCAGGATGCGATTCCAACATCCTCAAAGCCGCTCGCTCGATGAAATGTCAGGTCTGCGACGCTAACGCCGCTCCGAAGATCGCAAGGCCAAGTACCCTGCCACCCATGGCGGATTTCAACGATACACTGGGACTGGACTTGTTCTTTTGCCACGACATCGATGACGTCAAGCACGCCTTCCTCTCCGTCATCGACTACGGCACCTCATACCACCTTGCTACGCGGGTCGACGGCCAGTCGGCCGAAGATATCGAGGCGAAGTTCAACGAGATGTGGCTTTTGCCTTTTGGACCACCCAAAGCAGTGGTGATCGACCTCGAAGGCGGACTGCAGGCCGCTCTTGGAAGAATGTGCGACTGGCACGGAATTGCGGTGCGGAGTGTAGCCACTCAGAGCCATTGGCAAGCCGGAGTTGTCGAGAGACAGCAAGCCTGGTGGAAGCACATATGGGACAAGGTCAGCTACCAGTTGAACATCGGAGACGACGAGGTCGACGCCGCGGTCCCGGTGATCAACAGCGCAAAGAACGACCTAAGACGACGCTGTGGATACAGCCCGTCACAATGGGTCTTTGGCAAGGCCCCCCGAGTGCCCGAAGACCTACAGGATCCCGATGGTGGCAGCCACGTCCTTTGGGACGTCAGCGAGGATGCGAAGTACCAAAGACAAGCCGCCATGCGAGCGGCAGCTAGGGTGGCTTTTCATGAGAGCCAAACCGACAGTCGTCTTCGCAAAGCCCTTCTGCAGCGTACGAGGGTGGCATCAAGGCCACTAGACATCGGTGAAAGCGTGCATTTTTGGCACAAACCAAAGAATCGGAGACGAGGGTGCTGGTCTGGACCAGCCGTCATCGTTGGCAAGGAGGGCGGCAACTATTGGGTTTCAAAGGGAGGCAGATGTCGGCTGACCTCAGCCGAACACCTTCGCCCGACCACTGCGGAGGAGGTCGGGGCGCTGCTTTCAATGCGGAACACCCAAAGAGAGGTCGAGCAACTCCTCGACCATGATCCAGACGGAGACGAAGCCTATGGAGAAGACGTCGACTACGCCGACGATATGAGCTGGAACGAGGACAATGAGGACGGCGAGCTCGAGGACTACCTCATCCCTTCAGGAGATGAAGCGCCTATGCTCGAGCCCTTTCAGGACGAGGACCCACCAGATCCTCCTCCACGACGACTCAAGAGGAAGACGGCAGCAGCTGAGTTGCATCCGAGCCCCGATCGCCACGAGGCCATGATGCTCAAGACTCAGTTGACTACACGGGGCCTGGAGAAACGCAAAGAAAAGGAGCTGAAGTGGACAGAGATCCCGGAGGAGGTCCGCGATAAGTTTCGAGAAGCGGAACAAACCCAATGGAACGAGCACTTGGCCTACGATGCTCTGGAACCTCTATCGCTCGAAGACAGCGCGCGGATCAAGGATGAAGTTGCACCGGAGAGAGTTCTCCGATGTCGCTGGGCCTATAGGGATAAAAACTATGCGAGGCGGCGCCAAGGGGAAGATGTGCCATGGAAGTGCAAATCTAGGCTGGTCATCGCAGGCCACACTGACCCGGACCTCACCGACGAGTCTATGCGGTTGTCTACGGATGCTCCGACCTTGTCAAGAAGTGGGCTCGCGTGCATGCTGCAGCGTACCGCAGATGGGTTACGAGACTCCGACCCATGGACCCTGGCTGCCGGAGACATTAGGTGCGCCTTCCTTACGGGCAGCTACCTCACCCGCGAGCTCTTCATGCACCAACCGAGGACAGGTTTTCCTGGAATGGTTCCGGGCCAGTTGGTCCGGATCAAGAAGAACGTGTTCGGTCTTGCTACCAGCCCGCACACATGGTGGCAGGACCTCCAGGACGGGATCCGGAAGTTCGAGATCAACTACGACCACGAGCAGAGGACAGGGACGTGGAAGTTCGACCAGAGTCCAATGGACCCTTGCGTCTTCATGCTACGCGAGTGGCGAGATGGCGGATTCGTCGGCAAGCCGATCGCCTACCTCGGGTGCCATGTAGATGACCTACTGATCGCTGCAGCGCGGGGGCTACAACCACTCATTCAGAAGGGGTTGTCCGAGATCTTCCCTATCGAGACCTGGGAGATTGACGAGTTTGAGTTCCTCGGCTCGAAGATCAGCATCGAGGACGACGTTGCGCGGATGAACCAGCAGAAGTATGCGGAGACTCGATTGTTCACCTTGGACATCCCCGCCGGCGTCGACGAGGGTGACTTCGCTCCGGCAGAGCTGGTGAGCGATAATCGAAGCCTCATCGGCGCACTGTCGTGGATGAGCGGGCAAACGCGCCCAGATCTCACCTGTTCGGTGAGCATGGCGCAGCAACTGCAGAAGGCCCCCACCTACGGGGACCTGAAGTTTACTAACACCATCGCGGCGAAGGCCTACCAGTTTCGAGACCGAGGCCTCGAGTTCAAGGCGATCCCCGAAGGACACCTCATGCTGGTCGCCTACCATGATGCGGCCTGGGCCAACGTTCCCGACCCAGACCCCGAGGAGACCTGGTACGTCCTCACCCCGAACGAGGACGAAGCAGGAAGACAACGTGAAGGTCCTTATGCCCAAGAAGGCGTCAGGCGAGCCAAGAAAGGGAATTCTAAAGTGGCCTCCCAGCTCGGTGTGCTGGTGACCTTCACTGACAGAGCAGCCCTCGCCGGAAGACCCGGCAACAGCAATGTCGGCGACTGGCGGTCGAGAGCTGGACAGAGAATTTGCAGGAGCACCTTCGGTGCCGAGACGCAAGCCTGCGCCGAGGGACTAGAGACAGCACAGTATCTCCGGTCCATGTACGAGACGATGATCCAAGGGCACATGGTTACAGTCGAGGCGGCCGTGCTCCCCATCCTCTGCCTCAGCGATTGCCGGTCCCTCTATGATCACCTCAACCGACAAGGAATTCCTCGTGTCCCGAGCGACAAGCGGCTCGCAGTCGATCTAGCAGCTCTTCGTCAAGGCCTGAGATCCGAGAAGTGGGGAGACCAGCTCCCGATAGGATGGATACCGGGCACGCTCCAAAGGAGCGACATTTTGACGAAGCCTCAGAATCCATCTGAGTGGTGGAACGGGCATAGCGGAAGGCTGACTCTCCCTGTCATTAGCAACAGAGGGAGCCTTCATCAGCAACAGGAAGGGGAGACACAGAACCAGTGTGAAACTTGAGTGTAGTCGTCCTGCTGACAGTGCGCATCCTTACGAGTACTTTGTGAACTGACGGTTCTGTGTCAAGCCCATCCCCCTTTTGTCATGACATGTCATGCTTGGCAGGTCGTCTTCGAAGGCATCTGGTACAATCGAGCAAAAGAGGCGTCCGCAGACGCGCAGGCCGATCGTGGGAGTGCTTAGGTTTTGCCCCGTAGGAGTTCTCCCACACTTCTAGTTTCACATTTAGGGTTTAGGGTTTAGGGTTTAGGGGTTTGCGATGGTTTAGGGTTTAAGGCTCGTCAGGCACAGGGGCCTTATTGGCCTGTAAGCTGACAAGGATTCTTCAGCATTGCCTGTTTGAAGGTGTTACGTAGAGACCAGGCTTATGAGTGTCTTTTTATAGGTATGGAGGCGTTGCCAGGCTTCCGGATTTGAAGCTGTCCGTTGGTTTTAGTAACTTTAAGATGGCACGTATACTATATCTATACATATATATATATATACATATTTACATATTTACGGATACATGGACCCTGTCTGTGTAGGCTACATGTAAAGTTCCATGATAACAGTTCGACTCAAAGACGGCCCGATGAACCTTATTGCCATTATCGTTCCTGATGTTGTTCTTGTCATTCGTGCTAGTCTTATTGCTATTACATACTTCTAAGGACTTTAGGAGGGACCCCTAATAGGGACCCTTAATCCCATTACCTTGAATAACCGATGTATAGTCCTTATATACCCCTTATATAGCCAGGTAGTCTCCATAGTAACCCCAATAACCTACAAGGGTCCCGATTAAGGGTCCCTCCTAAAGCCCTTAGAATACAATTATTGTGAATTTTCCACTCCCTATTATACCTGTCGGATTAAGAATCTTCGAGCCTCGCGGACTTTTGGGGATCTTGCGGCGGCAATATACCACATTAAGGGTTTAGGGTTTAGGGTTTAGGGTTTGGGGCTTGCTTCTTTACTGAACTTTGCATCGCTACTGCAGGCTGCGTGTGACTGAGAGGCAAGTTTGCAGCGAATGTGTGCTATAGGGTTTCGGGTTTAGGGGTTTAGGTTGAGGATCTGGTGTAGAATGGGATGGGAGGTACCGGGTCATTTCAAGGTGGCAATGCTACCAGTGAGCGACAGTGTATGTGAACGATAGGCATTGCGACTCCTGTATGCTGTGTCTTGCAACATCCTAAGCCCTTAAACTGTAGAACTGTAAGCCCCCAAACCCTGAAACTCTAAAGCCGTAATCTAAACTCTAAACCTTCAAGCCAACCCAGCCATCGTGGACCTCCTTACCCATAGGCCCTAAAGTAGTTCCTTTTTGGGGGTTCACATATAGAATCCTACAAGGTAACCCCAAAAAAGGAACTACTATGGGACCTATGGGGTAAACCCAAAACCCTAAACCCTAAACCCTATAGCACACTGAAAAGGAACTACTATGGGACCTCCTTAATGGTCCGGATGTTGCAGTGGCCGCTGAACTTTGCAAGCGGGGAGCAACAGCCGTTGTCCTGCAGGGGAGCGGGGCTTGGGCATTGTAGGGCTTTAGGGTTTAGGGTCTAGGGTTTAGGGTTGAGGGCTTTAGGGTTTAGGGTTTAGGGGTTTAGGGTTTAGGGTTTAGGGTTTAGGGCTTAGGGTTGAGGATTTAGGGTTTTGGGTGTAGGGTTTAGGGTTTAGGGTTTAGGGTTTAGGGCTTAGGGTTTGGGGATTGAAGCTTAAGTGCAGGCATTCGGCATTAGGATGTAGATTTAGGCAGGAGGGACTATGACTAGGATGTAGAATGCAGGGTTTCAGGAATAAGTTTAAGCCTTAGGGTTTAGGATGTAGAGTGTAGAGTTTAAGGAAAGTTAAAAATTAGGAAAAGGTCCGAAATATCTATAACAGTAGCAAGTGGCGTGTCCATCGTAGGAACTACTATTTGGTTTGGGTATGTATTCTTCATAGCATGGGTACTTAGAGCCACTTTGGGTAGGTCTAACATGGAGGCGTTCATAGCCAGCAGGGGTTTAGGGCGCTTTTGCGCTATATTAGCAGTCTCAACCCAAAACTCTTAAGGGAACCTTAGGGACGAGTGCCAACTAATTTAGGGTTTAGGGTTTAGGGATTTTAGGTCTACGCTGTGGAGATTTCGGGTTAAACCCTAAACCGCCCTGGGGCGGTTTGGGACGCCCGCGACGGGGCTTAGGTGCCTGGGCTTCGGGGGCTTCGCGGTTTTTGGGGCCTAGGCCCTGAACCCGAAACCCCAAAACCGCTAAACCCTAAACTCCCAAACCCTAAACCCTAAACCCTAAACCCTAAACCCCAAAACCGCTAAACCCTAAACCCCAAACCCCTAAACCCTAAACCCTAAACCCTAAACCCTAAACCCCAAAACCGC